GAGCAATAAACTGTGTTCGAAATGTGGTCATTAGTAAGTATTACTGTATAATAAATACTGTGAGACTTTATCAAAATAAATGTTACCCACAATGGAACTATACTCTACCACTACGGTGCACAAGTTCTATTCTTATATCAACAGAATAATTTAACCACATTCTGTGCATGTAATTATGTGGGTCTTCTTAACCTAACAATAACCTTAATCTTTCCTGAACATAATTCTAAACTAACTGTAATCTAACTCGAACCAAACCTGATGTCGCGTTTATTATGTTAACCTAACCCTAATTTGTCCTTGGCTTAAAGCGTAACCTAATCTCTCGTAGACCTAAGCTGAAACTTGCTAGATATCCCATCTAATAGCATAACTCTTCGATGAGCATATTTTATTGATGATGACAACATAATTTGCCAGGTTTCACTAACTTGCTCAGTAAGTATTTCAAGGTCATTGTTGCGGTCGCACTCCATTGGTAGTTATTGGTGCTTAAAGTTTAACTTAGCCAGGCAATGAATTTTGAACCAGTCGCCTTGTGGTGAGAGCAGGCTAACCAAAAATGGTAGACAGTATTTTACGTCAATGAGTATGTCGCATATATTGGTCGTGAGAAAATATGAACAAGGCTGATTCAACAAACAATCACGGCAGACTTGGCGTAGGCAGATACAGTTAACATATGGATGATCTGACATTCAAGAAACAGTCACAAAGAGATGCAAGGTCAACTTTTTGTGAGAAACAACCAATCAGAAGACAGTGTTTTTCTGCTAACAATAATCTATGATATGTACATGAAAATATATACATACGTGTTGATTTCCTTAATAAACGATCTGTTACCTGACTCTTGCCTTCTTTCGTTACAGCCTGTGTGGCTATCAGTTCGTATCTTTGCCCCCGAAAAGCGACATCAATAAAAAGATAATTTCGTCGAGTTTCTAGTCAATTCTGTCAAGTATAACTGGCTCGTTCATTTTTATGATTACCCTATGATGGCTGATTTCGATAATCTTATAGCCTTAATAAAACTAATCATCCTGATAAATTGTATGGAGCGAAGAGTATGTATTAGGATACAATAGCATTAGTAAAGGCAAATGAAAATTATATGAGAAACTATATTGAGATACAAGTATAAATAAAATGGAATAATAGTCAGTTGTTTAATAACGTCTACCGAATAAATATAAAATGTGCAGTCATTCGGAAAATAAAATGAAATATCAATCGATAATTAAGTGACATACTAAAGTATTTACAGTTTAATTTCATTTGTTAGATTTCGTTGGTTAAAGAGGTCACTGAAAACCAGGGAAAAACTGGACAGCTGTTTCGTCCCGTTCTGAGTCTCTTCGCCATTACGCAGCGACGACCCCCACCAGAGACCGAACTTAGGTCCTTCAGGTTACGAGACCAAGCTGATTGTTTGTTCAACCACTTGGGTAGGCTTTCAATTGCCTGTGAATTCTAACTTCGTGTAACTAATATTGGTTAGTGACCGAAGTCTAACAATAGATATTGGGTAAAGTTGAACTTTAAGCACCTAAGGCGTGCAATATACCAATGACACTGGACGCATCAATCACTTGAAAAAGGTGATTTTAACATATCAAATACAGATATTTATAAAAAATAATGAATAAAGGAAACTGTTACGCAGGATATGTTTTTATGACGTGTGATAAAAGTAACGCCGAGTATTTTACTGGAGTATCAATGGAGTATCAACCCCATTATACATTTACCCATCTAAGTGCGTCTGTGGTGCAGCGGTTAGGACTCTCACCGACCATGCACATGGTCCGGGGTTCGACCCCTTGCCGACGCACACCTGATATCTATGGTCGGCCTGCAAAATTTGGGCTACCGATATCACATTCTGAAAATTTCATACTTGTACAAAAAATACGGTGTGGAATTAAGCTGTAATCAAAATCTAAAAAAATAAAATGCTAACCCTAATCTATCTTTAACCTAACCCTAACATGCAATTATTCTCATATGGGCTTTAATTTAACTCAAACCAATCCCAATAAGTCCTTTATCAAATTAACCTAACTCTAACCTGTCCTTAGCCTAGACTTAAGGTTAGTATTTCCCAAACCTAACCTAAAATTTACCAGATATTCCGTTGAATACCAAAATATTTCATTGAGCATATTTTGTTTATAACTGTAATCTTATATATCTTGTTTTACTAACTTGTTATCTGAGCATTCCCAGGCAGCATTCGTGTGGTGGTTAAAGTTTAGCTTGGCCTGAAGAAATTGAATTAATCCAAATCCTCACAAATCTCATAATCTAAATATATCAATATCTTCGGGTCATTGATGTCTACTGAGTAAATTTCCTGGGGTTGTAGTGAGAAGTCATGACCACTACGGTCAAGATGAAGTGGGTATTCATTGAATGCATTGGAGGGGAGGTGTTATGAACTCGTCACCAATATGTTATGGTGTTGTAACCGAGTCTAAATATGCGCTAATGAGATATATATAACGGATGATAACGTACAGACTAGTATTGCTGAGTAGTTAATTTGTCCTGACGCGAAGAGGAAAACCAGAAGACCACCAGCACGTTCACGAAGATACGTGTATCTCCCAACAAGGGGAAATTTAACCGTCATACAACAGTGCGAGTGGAAAGGTATTAAAAAGTACGAAAAGAGTTTGAAATAGTGAATTAACTTTACAATACACGAGAGTATATATGAAGATGACTAACATACATGAACCAATAAAACAGATGGTAGTTTTTCTTACCACCATTGGATTCTGATTGGTTGTAATGTCATGTGACTAAATGTTATACATCGTTTATTTAGTTAATGGACAGAAAAGATATAATATTGTGAGTTATGATGGAATAACAATCAATATGCATAGAGCAAAATATATCAAACTGTCAAAACAGAGCTGACATCATGTGACTACATATCAGAAGGGTAGTGCTGTATCACGAGTTGACAAGGTTAGAATTCCGCCCCAAGTGACTAGCTAGTCAACTTTCTTGTTCTCGTAGCCTTAGGGTCGTGGGGTTTGATTCCTGATGGGGTCGTGATTGCTCACTGATGAAGAATCCCAGATTAAAGTGAGCTGTAATCAGATAATAAAAAGAAGATAAGCCTACTGACGGATGAAATTTCCAACCGTATAATGAAGGCTAAGGTGGGATACATCAACTTGAGCCACCTCTGGCGCCGTCGTGACGTTAGCCTGGCTGTCAAAGGTCGGGTATACAATGCTTCGGAGCGGGCTGGCTTGCTCTACGCCTGTGAAACCTGGCCTCTCCGATTAGGTTGAGAATGTGCGGCGACTCTGTGTGTTCGATCATCGCTATCTCCGCAGGATTGCTTGCGTTCGATGGCATCAACGCGTGAGTAATTCTGAGGTTCGGCGGCGTGTGTTTGAACACAGTGGAGATCACCATTCATTGAATGTCGTCATCTGGAAACACCGGCTCCGGTGGCTTGGACATGTGCTCCGAATGTCACCCCAGAGGCTTTCGTACAGGTCTCTGTTCGCTAGCCCTGGGACGGGATGGAAAAGGCGGAGAGGTGGTCAGTCCATGACGTGGCGTCGTGGGATGAAGGATTTTTGTGCTAGATTAGCATCGTTTGGTGTGTCACGACTCGCTGGTTGGGGTCCGAGAGATAGCTCAAATCGATGGCTCGAAACGTTATCGGATATGGCCAAGAATCGTAATCAATGGTGAATGTGTTTCAATTTCCTTCTTTCTTCCCTTTCTGATGATAGTTAACGAACACTGTTTGAACTTGTTAAGCATAAATGTCTTCGTTCCAGATGAAGTTCTTTATCTGTTCTCTACTTATATTTTTTAATTTTGATCTATGTTGTTTTATTATTATTGAGTGGCGCATCTTTTTTGGTGCCATATTGTACTAAGTTTTTTCTGGGTTTAAATAATTTAAATAACAATAGTAAATTCAAACAGTGAGAAATAACAATGATAATAACAGGCTGAAGTAGAACTAGGGCATAATAACATGAAAATATCAGGTGATTACATCCCCTAATAACCTTATTGTAGGCTAAGGTTTAGAAAATAGATGAATTTACGCTTTTCGCTGACATGGTGAAGGCTTGTTCATATTGTTCCCTGAAGCTTTAGCTATGGCTACAAGACATAATCGCGTACTTTTAGGCAGATTGTTTGGAACTCGAAATACGACGGTTAACGACTCATCTGTTTTAATGCTGTGTTGTGTTCTCATTGTCCACTAGATCAGATAAAATCTCACTATTTGCTCCTTTGATTAACTCCTTTTCTAAGCTGCACACTGCTACATGTGCTAACAAGTGCTTAAGGATAAATCGCGATAAGTACGACCTACATAACTAGCTTCACTGAGACGGTTAAAGAGAATTAATAGACTATGTGTAAAAAGTTATATTTGTATAAATCTCTGCAGAATTGAAGTAAATAATTCCGTTTCGTTAGACCAGTTCACCTAACAAAATATGTGTATTATCTATTTCAGTTTCTCTGGATATTTATGCAAATATAATTTTTACATATGTCTACTTTTCACTCGGCGTCCAATTATTGTTGAACTTTTCGGTCACTACTTGGTCAGACTTCGTATAAAAGAGATGTTATTCTTATTATTATTTTATTCCTTAACGTTCCCAGTGGAACATAGGGTGGCTTCAAGGTAGAGCTTTGAAGTTTCGGTAGCAGTGGTATTTATTTTCACGGGATGGCGTGGTTGCTAGCCTCATGCCCAACCTTGCCTCTTTACCACTCTTATTATTGGCTTAGCGAGGCAAAGGAGTGCGTCTATGGCCGGGAATCGAACCCCGAACCACATGAGGCGTAGTTGGCGAGCATTCTACCACTGTGCCACCGACGCACAGACGAGATGTGAGTGTACTTAAAATACGCATTGCTCATATCTCCATTATAATTGTCTTTTTGATGCTATTTTCTTTGTCTCTCTGCCTCTTTCACTCTCCCATTTTTACTCTTAGTTCCATCTCTTCAATCTGGTGGTATAGTTAGTCAAATATTTCCATTACATGAACCAAATTCACTGAACAAGCTGATGCGTACATGGATAAGTGGTTGGATAGTGAAACAACCATTGGATGATATAAAAGAATATTTTGGCACAAAAGTTGCAATGTACTTTGCATGGTTAGGTCATTACACTTATTCATTGATATTTCCATCAATTGTTGGACTTATAGTCTGGTTATTTGTCAGTCCTAATGTAAGTTATTTATTATATTTTTCATCTAGTGGTTTATATTATCATTATTATTATTCGCTTGTGTTTTCAGCAACAGAAAATAGGGTTTCATCAGTACATTTCCTTTTCACTCTGTTCTCTTCAGTCTACCTTATCTGACTCCACGATTGTCGTCAAGTTTTCGTTTCCTTCTCACATGGTCTGCTCCACCTCGCCGTTGAACTTGGGTTCAACTCGTAGTTTCCCTCTCGGGTTTTATACGAGTGGTGGTCTGGTGCGTGATGTCACTCAACTGTTTCCTTAGTGTATGTCCGATCCATCTTCATTTACTCCTACATATTTAATGGGAAATAGACATTTGTCTGGTTTGCTGCCACAGTTCCTTATTTTGATTGGACGTTAGTAACTAGTGTGACGTGTCTAGTCCTCCTATCTTTGGTGCAGATTGAATTCTATCAGTCAGGTTTTGCAATGTGACCACTATTCTAGGTGGCTCGCCATCACGGTACACATTGATTTGATGATATATTAGATAGTTGGATGTAATCGGCGACAGGAAGCCTTGGATCTAGGTTTCGTGCTAGTTGGCGCTCATCAGTCAGCAAGGCGTATCTGCAATCACCTTGAAGGAACTCATGTCCCTTCGGAGATTCGAACCGGCGTCAACAAGTGCTGGCTGCAGTCAGAGACGTTACCACTGAGCTATTCGAGCTCGCGATTGACCTCCTGTAGGACTGTAGTGGGTATTCTGATTGGACACTAGTAACTAGTGTGACGTGTCTAGTCCTCCTATCTTTGGTGCAGACTGAATTCTATCAGTCAGTCAGCTTTGCAGTGTGGTCACCATTCCTTACTGTCTATCGTCTCTGGGCGGCCATTTTCTCTTCAATTAGGAGTGAAGGCATATGTTACGTACAGTGTGCAGTAGCCTGCTGTGAACCAGATGGAAGTACTGACTTGACATTAGTTTTGAAAATCCGGGTCTCCTTTCTTTCACACTGAGTACAATAGACTTCCACAAAGATTTCATAGCAATGAAGATCTGTCTGTGAACTGTTACCACCACACAGATATGAACATTTTAAAACTTCTTAAATGAAGTAATTAATACTTCTTAATTACAGTTTGTAAAAAATGACGACTATTTGTGTAATTCAATGACGTAACTAATCATTCTCAAATCTGTTATCTTCATGAGATAGATAAGCATAAAAGAGAAAGAAATATGAGTGTAGTGGCGTACTCTTAACCGGAGATCGCATCTAAGCTATCTAGCTCAGATAACACAACTAAGCCAGTATCATCCATCTGAGCTATGGTCCTTCCTCTTCCTTCATATTTAAAGGGAGAAGTAATAATGATACTCGGTCAACTATAATTGCCTATCAACACCAATAGGAGAAATTTAAGTGAAGTTGTCTCGTCCACTTACCCGGGAAAAATCGTCTCAAGTACCTTACGTCATGAGTTACCATGTCAAATCCGCGGTCGAGAAAGCAAGACAGGCGTTCGCTACTCTGACATGACTGTGGCGGGGATATACAGGTACAAGATTCGAATCCTCAACACTACTTTCGATTCAGAGACTTGGTGCATCATTAAAATCACTTTCAGTAGGTTTTCAAACTTTCGTCATCGGGTGCATCCATTTAATAGTAAAGATAAAATGACCAGCCAGAAAGGTTAATTAGCAAGCAGCTCTGTCGGAAAAACCAGGTAACAGTCTATTACCCCCCCAAAAAAAACAGAAAGAAATGGAGTTTAATTAGGCATACGCGGAGGAGTTTGTTGATCGACATTCTGCACCCGAGTGAAACTCGATTAGAAGGCGACGAGTGAGTCCCCGAGGGTGAAAGGGAGGCGATTATATATATATATATATATATATATATATATATATAGGTAATGAAAGCTTGTAAGTGCTCGTGAAGAGCAACTTGGAGTTGTTGTGTCAGGCAACGGAACTCAGTGAACATGTTGCACTGAGGTCCTTATGAGCCATTCAGAACGTAAGGAACGAATGATAATAATGTGGTGAGAGATGGCTGCTAGCCAAATTGGTAGACAGCAATTGACGTCAGTGTTTATGTCCCAAATATAGTCATGTGAAAACATGATCAAAGACTGACAGCAAACTTTGCATAGGCGGATACAGTTAGCAGATAGATGATCCGACACTCAAGAAGCAGTCACAAAGAGATAAAAGATTAACTTGTAGTGAGAAACAACCAATCAGAAAACTGTTTGTCAGCTAACAATAATCTACAATAATGTACATGAAAATCTATAAATATGTGTTGATTTCCTTAATAAACGATCTGTTGCTTGACTTTGCCTTCTGTCGTTACAATAACACTACGAATAGCCTTCTTCACCACTGTTTAGTCATCAGCATATTGTCAAAAGCTTTCTGTATGCCTGGGAGTTAGCAATTTTATAAGGTGAGAATGAATTAATAATCCTTTTTTTAAAAGCGAAAATGTCTTTCTAGTCATCTTTGTATTCGATCTATCTGCAGTAGCTACGCATTTCATCAGTGACACACACATATATTTCGCAAATCAAATTTCCCAGTTTTCACAAAGTGTACAACTTAAGGTGTAAAACTCACTACGGTTTCATTTGAGAATCAGAAATATTTATTCACACCACAACATGTGATCTGGTTGATATTATAAGTGGTAAGCAAGTGAAATCGTATGCTGTGATTTATACTACTTATTGATACCAGACGACTCAATCTACCCATATCAATCAGTTTTACATACTATTATGCAAGTGTCGTTCGTTTGTGTGTAGGTATGCTATTTATTAAAAGATGTGTGTGGGCGTTTGTTACTTCCCGGCTGCCTGCACCGTGGGAGTTGATTGATTCTTCGGGTACCTGAAACAGAAAGAGGGTTAGTGTTGCGTCACCGCAGAGCTCAGGTGACAACTGCTTGAGGCCGGTCACACACGGCCTGTATGAATTGGTTTCTGGGATTGGTTCCGTATTAGTAAACTCACCGCCGGTTACGGACCACCGTAGGGTAAGTCGGGATGTACAATTTTCGGGGTCGTCCTTTTCTAACCCCCTCTCTCCGGAGTGGAGAGACACCATAGCTGGCATGCTGGTCATCTGAGGGAACACCTCACTGCTGTTACACTCCTCTTCCCCAGCAGTAAAACTTCGCCTTCAGACCCTCAGCATAGTGTAAGAAAGATTCTTACACGATGCCGGTAACTGCTTTTAGTCTAATCGCTATCCTAACAACCTTCCTGGCACAGTAGGACCCGCAGGAACATCGGTTCCAGCGAGTGTAGCTTCTTGGGTCATCGCGATGTGCAAGCCCGACCACCACGTCAAGGTAGCATCTATTGGTCGGAAAATATTATGGTAGATCTTTCGTTAAACGATAAACTAACATCAGCTAGCTAGGTAATCACTCCAAATCAAAAGGCACTCATTCCAGTTTAAGACTTTTCGGTGGGAATACACATTCCTGACCCCCTTACTGTAGATCAGAAGCTGGATCTTTAGGCTCTAAGGCGACTTTGTTCAACCATTCAGCCACTGAGGAGGATTTCAAAGTTCTGTGAATTCGCAATTATGGTAATGTCGTTTCCCTGATCTAATTTTGAATATCAATGTTCTGAAACAAATTCTCTTCTATATTTCTGGTTTTTTTTATTTAATATTTGTAGAAAAACTCATTTTATTATCTTCTAATGGCAGTATTAAATTTAATCTGGACACCGTTATATCTTGAACATTGGAAACGGACTAGTTCTTTCTTAGCTTACCATTGGAGTTCATGGGATACACCGATTCCATTGTTAGAAGAGCCTAGACCATTATTTAAAGTAATTACTTATTTTGATTTTTTAAACATATATATATATATATATATATATATATGACAGTAATATTGTAATCGTCATTATTGCTATCATCTTTTTAATTCCTTCACGATCCAACTGGAACATACGGCTTTACTGTTTAGTTTCAAGATTTCATCATGAACTGACATTAGTTAGAGAACCATTGGAAAACCTGGGAGTACTGGACAGCTGTTTCATCCTAGTTTGGGACGTCCCAAACTAGGATGAAACAGCTGTCCAGTACTCCCAGGTTTTCCAATGGTTCTCTAACTAATGTCAGTTCATGATGAAATCCTGAAACCAACCAAATCCCTACAAACCAACACTTAAATTTACTGTTTAGTCTTTGGAGTTTCAGAAGCACTAGTGTTATTTCCGCAGTATAGTACCACACCCAGTCGTCCCTCTTTTTCCATCATACCATCGGCTAGGCAAGATTTAGTTCATTGGCCGGGTGTCGAACCTTGGACCACGTGGGTGGATGTTTGGCGAAACACTGATACACATTGATAGCATACTGTCTTAAAATCCTACGAAGACAAAAAGACGCTTCCAGCGAAAAAACGTAGTTCTTTTCCTTCTTCGATACTGCCATCAAATAGGCTGTACGTTTGTGAATATATAACAAAAAGGTGAGAAGATTTCGAGAATTATTTTCAATTAAGAGTATCAACATCAGAATAGTAAAGTTAAATTACACTATGCGAAATGAGTCGTTGTTTCAGTGTTAGAATGTACGCCAACCATGCAAATACTCTGGGTGCAATTCCCGATCAGCGCACTCTTTAACCTCGACTAGTTGGAAGGAAACCCAGTAAGGAGGGAAGGTTAAGCATGAGGCGAACGATCCACCTTATACAAATAAAACTACCGTCACTAAAACGTCTAAGAAAATAACTTGAAGCTCTGTGATCCACTCGGAACGCAAAGAAATGTAAAAAAAGTATGCCGAATGGGGATTATGAAAAGGAAATAAACAAAATGTTATTTTCTCGTTGATAGCAGAGGAATCTCGCTATCGTTATTTGGATGAACCCGCGTCACCAGTTAGCGATGTTGTTCCTACTGAAACTTGAACTCAGAACCCATCGTTTCAAACGATCAGGTGTTGTCCACTAGGCGATGAACCAAGTAGCTAGCCAGGAGTAGAGTGGTTCTAACTGATTCAGCTTTTTGAACGTAGTCAAACCGAGTACACCATTGGTGAGCTCCACCCCAAACGAGCAAAACGGGCGCCTGGTGTGTGTAAGTGAGTGATATGCAACTACTCTGCTCAATCAATCAGTAGTGTTTAGAATTCAGGATATAGTTTGTCGCTCGTCGTTCTATACGATTGTTTTATTATTATTGTTATAATTTCCTTTAATTTCTTAATCAACATAGGGCTTCAGCTGCACGTCTCTATTGTGTTCAGTTCTCTCCTAAAAGTTTCACCTGGCTCCAGGTCTGCCCACATGCTTTCATCTCCTCTTCACATGACCTCCTCCAAGTCACCCTCGCACTGACGACCAGCTCGCCGCTTCCCACTCGGGTTCCACTCGAGGACTTGTCTAATGATGTCACTTGATGGATTCCTCAGAGTAAGGCCAGCCAGTCTACCTCCATTTCTCCCTGCTTATTTGTTGCACAATCGGTTCCTTGTTGGTTCGCTCATTTTAGAGATCCCTGTTGCTGATCTTTTCTGGCCATCTGGTCTTAAGTAGTATTGAGCAAAGACAGCTGTTGATGAAGGTCTGTAGTTTGTTTAAGGTTCTCTTCATGACGCGCTGGCCAGGTCTCTGATCCGTATAGTGAGTAGCACTGACTTCACATTGGAGTTGAAAACCCGCATCCTGTTTCTCATTCCGAGTGCTGTTGACCTCCACACAGACTTAAGGGTAGTGAAAGCTTGCCTTGCTTTCCCGATCCTCGCTTTGATATCCTCGTCAGTTCCGTCCGCCTGTAGTTGAAACGATGCTTCCCAGGTAGGTAGGTGGAGGAGGTTGTTTCCTTCAGGTTTCTCCCATTTATGCTGATTGTTGTCTGTTGTTGTTGTTGCTGTTGGTGATGTTGGCCAGGAATCTTCATCACCTCTGTTTTGTCTATGTTCACTTGAAGTCCTATCTTTGATGCTTCTTCTGCCAACTTGTTGCTTTTCACTTGCATATCTTCCAGTTTGTAGGAAATCAGACATATATCATCGGCGAAGTTCAGATCCTCCTAGTTTTTTGTGTGTGAGTTCATTTTATGGCTGTTTTCTCGTTGCCCACTGTCTGTCGCATGATCCAATCTACTGTAATCAGGAAAATCATTGGCGATAGTAGGCATCCTTGCCTCACTCCCGTCCTCACTTCGAAGGATTCCATAAGTCTCCCGTTGTGGATTACTCGGCATGCAGCATTGTCGTATAACTTTTTGGTGAGGTTTATTATTGTTGGCGAAATCCTGTAGTAGCGAAGTGGTTGACAAATGACCTCTCGATCGACTCTGTTGAAGGCCTTTTCAAAGTCGATGAAGTTGAGATAGAGAGGTGACTGCCATTCCAAGCTTTGTTCAATGATGATCCGTAGTGTGGTGATTTGACCAATACATGACTTGTTTCTCGTGAATCCAGCCTGTTCTTCTGGTCGAATTTTTCATCCAGGTTGGCGTGTTTGATTATCTCCAGGGTGATTCGATAGGGTGATAAAAACAATATTTTTATATGACAAGCATGACAAGTTGAATGCAATTCGGTTACACCTTGATATAGGGTGATTATAATGATTAATCATAATCAGTTCATGGTATTTTTAGACGAAAAACTGGTAAATTAATTCACAGTTGCAGAACGTGTTAGTCGGTAGTAAAACTGGAAGGAATAGTTCGTTATTAAATAGTCTGTTTGATAAGTGATTGAAGTGAAGTCATATATGAATAAATAATATGGCGTTGGTGACACAGCGGTTAAAACTCTCGCTGCCCGTGCACATGGTCGGGGCTTGATCCCCTGCCGACGCACACCTGATATCAATGGTTAGTCTGCGAAATCAGTCTGTATAAGTGGAGACATTTCAGTGTTTATAATAAAAAGTACAAATTGTTGCAACTCCTCACCAGAAATTCAGCTCACCTTGTAATTGGAAGGTCCTGGATTTGAAACCGAATGGGTGCGTGCTGATGAAGAGTTCCAAACTAGGATGAAGTCTATCCAATACTTTGTAGTTTTCCAGTGGTTCTGTAACTTATGTCAGCTCTTAATTTGGTCTGTAACCAATCAAATCCTCCTAAACTGACATTTGATAATTAGATGGAATTATTTTTTTTACAAATATTTTGAATCTCCCACTAACTGCTTTATATTTATCGAAATGATCGATCCTACCCAGGTGACATGTGATTCGGCATAGAGCAGTTACGACTAATATAAACCGATCACCGAGAAGGATAAAATTAACTGATTCAAATAACAACTGATACTAGGTATGATAGAGAAGATTTCTGGCTTGGGTGGATGATTTTCTTCTGGTTGTGTTCTCTGAGCTGGATAGTTAATTTGCGAAACTTTCATTGCCTCACTTTTAGTCAACATCTTCAGCGCATATTGCAATTCGAGGAAGTGAGCTTTTAGATTTCTCCATGATTTCATTGATCATCTCTCCTGGTCATAACTTTGGATGTGATTGGTTGTTTTTGTGTGTTTTCACACATTCTAGGCTACTTGTATTGGAACTGATTGTTTCTTCGACTTGAACATTGACCCTTTGTGTGTGAGGTTTCCTTCTTATCGGTTGATGAATTTTGTCTATCTCGATGTGTCTATTGATTGATGATTGATTCACTGGAATACCAGTCAGGCTTATAAAAATTCTCTAGCATTCTTGGTGTTGTTTCCTCTGTTTAATATTTGAACGTTGGTTGTCCCAGTCGAATTGATGGTCGCGATTGTCTGTATGTAGTGAATTATATGAGGGAGTGGATATCATGTGTTTTTACGGCTAGCTTATGTAAGTGTATACGAAGACGAAGTGGTGGGTAGTCCACTTTGGTCAATGTAGTGTTTCTCGCAGTTGTTACAATTTATTTTGTAGAAACTGATGTTGGTTTTATCTTCTTTCGCTGTTGAGTCTTTTGGTTGACATAGAATTGAGTGAAGTGACTTTGTTGGTTTGTGTACGACGTCAATTCCTCATCAAGGTTTGAAGAGTCTTGTAGTGATTTCTGAGATATCCTTTACATATGGTAAGGCGATTTTCTTTGTGCTTTCCTTGGGGGCTTTTGGTTTGATAGGTTGGCTTGGGGGTATATGTCTTTTGATGAGATTCGTGGGTATCCATTCTTTTGGAAGACATCCATGAGATATCTTTCTTCGATTTTCCTCAAGGTGAGAGTGCTGCAATGAGTCCTGTCTGGCTGTCTTGAATAGTGTTTGTACGCAATTCCTTTTGTATGTTATTGGATTGTTGCTGTTGTAATTCAGGACTTGGTCTGTGATACTGATACTTTTTGCAGGAGGGAGGTGACCGTTGTAGCTCAATAGCCCAATGGATAACACTTTGACGTTTGTTACTACGGGTGCTGCGTTAGAGTCTCAGCGGGAACACCATGACTCAGTGAGAATTGCAGACACATCCAATTCAACAGTCAAAAACTTAACAGACTGATTCTACTTTATGATTCTAATACATTTAACTCTTTTCCAACCTATGCCTATATCAACTAACATTGCTTGACGAAAAGAGCGATTAAATGGCATGCATAACACATATCCTAGCTATCTCGACTGATATAGCTTTATAAACACACTGATTGATTTCTCCTCAGTACATAACAATGTACACCCAACGCGCATCGTCACTAATCCTATTATAGTGCCTAGTACAACAGATTGCGCTAGTGGTTAAAGACACATGACTTTTGGATGTCTTCCAATTCCAACGAAGAAGATTTTCTTTATCGACGAAATCATCTTCGGAGGCTATACAGTCGTATTTATACTTACAAAAATATATAGTGGTCTATTATTGAGTAATAGAGGGTGACATTATTGATATAATTACTCAGAAGTGGCTTTGGAAGCGAAGATTAAAAGTTGTAAATTACGTGGTACTCAACGGCACAAAGGAAGAAATGGTTAGAAATTTGATAAGGTTAAAATTGCTCTTTAGTGAGAATAAAGGTATTTGAGTGTCAATTTAACAAGTGTGAAGAGGGCGTGAAAATATACAAAAGGAGCATATGAGAGTGATAATAGTGAATTAATTATTGAAGCAAAAGCAAACTAAAATTAAAAAAGAAAAGAAAAATTAAAATGCTTTACAGGGAACCATTAGTGAAGAGGTTAACTCCAAGGCAGAATAAGAGATTGAACAAACTTTTTCTGCATACAGATTTCAGGGTTGTATTGATGAATTGCCGGCGCCTCCGCCATACACAAAAGCCGAAACCTGACGCCCTTTGTACCATTTGGCTTCATTTTGTAGATGATCTTGAAAGACAACTCTGGTGGGGCTGCGTGGCCTGAGTTCACCAAATGCTCGAGAATTGAGCTAGTAATTGTCTTGCATTGTCCCTTTGCTAACCATGCCGGATAATGTTCAGAGATGCGTTTGGAAAGCGTGCGCTTTGTGTGGGCGGTCAATATAACTAGCTCCACACAAGCAAGTGAATTTATAAATACACGCTGAGGTGGCCCAAAGCGGCAGTTTATCCTTCACACATCCTTTGATCATTTGTCGGCTGTAGAAATTGATACGTAGCACTTCCATAAAGAAGGCTTTTCTCAGTGATCTGCATAAGCGATTCTTCAGGATCTCAACTGCGGTATCACCTTTAAATTCAACACTCATAAATAGCAGTTTCTTCGGCACCGTCTGGATTCTTTCAGGCTTTTCCCTTAACTTCATGTTATTCTCGATAAATCTTCCAACGTCAGTATCTCACAGCCATCATATATACATATATATATATATATATTCCTCTTTTTATCATTATTTTTATTATCAATGCGTTATCATCTTTCTGCTTCCAGGGTAAACTATCACTATGTCCAATCACTGGAAGAACAATACGTGTTTATCCAAGATGGAAACGTGTATTAATCCTTTGCTTTATTACTTGCCCTGTTGTTCTACTCTCCTTGTTTATTGTCATCCTAATCACACTGGTATATGTCCAGTTACAAGAGAAAATGAATATTACAGCTGATTCCGGCAATACATACCTTATACCAAGTTTTGTATTGTCGACTTTACCCAAGGTAATTTGCATTATTTTATTTTACTAATTTTTTTAAATAATAAAGACAGTCATTCTGGACAAAATATGTTTTTATAATCTCCATAAATTTCTCAATGTTTTGATAAACAAAGGAAGACGAAATTTGCAGTATAAAATGATATCATCATTCTGTTTCACAGGTTCTCATCAGCTAACTGCAGGCTACCTGAAATTACAATGGCTGTATAAATGATAATAACATATTTTAATAGTTGAGTGGTAGTAGAGAAGAGATACCATAAAATTGACGAATCCAAAATGAAAGCATTACAATATTTTTAGTCTAAAATTTCATAATCAATTTATACGCTTTTAAAGTTGGAAAGTGGGATGGGGGAGGGGTAAGACAGAAAACAGAAAAAAATTGATTAACAGAACAGTGTTAGCTTGTAGGTTCAAATAGCAACTCAAAAAACAAAAGCGGTTACAGTTTATGAGATTAAGATTTGTTCAATGAGTTGAGATCACTGAATTAGATGAGTAATTAGTGCAATCAAAGTCAAAATTCAGTTACCACGAGAGTGAGAGGTTAATCACACTCTATTTCTGTATGCATAAGTCTGGTTTAAATCGTTTGATTGCGATCGCTTCGGCCAATCGTAGTAAATTGGCTATCCTTTGTCTAGTTAATATTGTGAAGGACTTAGAAATCTCTACGAGATGTCCAGTATCACCAATATCTATGGTAATTGCACTCTGAGAATATTTGCTTCCTTTCGGGCACAGGTTTTTTTTGGAATATGCTCAGATGACCGGATAGAAGCCCTTTTTTCCGTCCTACCAATATAACTGTTTGAAAAAAACTTTGGGCATTGGGTATATGATATTCATTATAATGAAGGTTTTTGTATTTCCCAATGAATGAAAAAAACGATGCTCTTGTTTTTAGTATTGTTTTAGTAAAAACCATATCGTTTTGTCTTTCATCTATTGGAAAATACAAAAACCTTCATTAGAACAAATCTTAATCTCATAAACTGTAACCGCTTTTGTTTTTTGAGTTGCTATTTGAACCTACAAGCTAACAATGTTCTGTTAATTAATTTTTTCTGTTTCCTGTCTTACTCCTCCTCCCCTTTTCAACTTTAAAAGCCCATAAATTGATGATGAAATCTTAAAATTGTAATGCTTTCATTTTGAATGTGTCAATTTTATAGTATCTCTTCCCTACTACCATTCAAACATTAAAATATGTTATTATCATTCATACAGCCATTGTAATTTCAGGTAGTCTGCAGTTAGCTGATGAGAACCTGTGAAACAGAATGATGATATCACATTTTATACTGCAAATTTCGTCTTCCTTTCTTTATCGAAATTTATCAAGGGAACAAAATGTATGAAGTTTTTGAAAAAACAATCGCGTTTTGTTTTTCATTCATTGGGAAATACAAAAACCTGTATTGTAATGAATATCATATACCCAACGCACAAATTGTTTTCAAACTGCTAAAAGTAAACTTGGTTTGGACATATGTAACATTAGAATAACGTCATGTGATGTATGTTTATACAAAGCGAAATTATATTGGTTAATAATAAGTCTACATTACTCAGCTCTGTTAGAAGACAAAGATGTATAGAATTATATAACCAGTACAGATGTAATCGGCAGATACGTATAAAACCAACTAGCTGTTAGCGTTCATGAAGTTTCACATGGAACTAGTCTACGTTCTATGTCCAACAAAATGAAAAACGAGTTTATACGGGCATTCGGTATTGACACTCAGTAAAAGTGATCCGTTGGCTGATTTTATTGAACCGAAATGCTTGATGTCTATTGATATGAAGGCGCCTAGTATAGAGATCTCGGCTATGCTTTAGGATTATTAAAGTGTCATTTGATTCATAGGGGCTAATAGGGGGACTTCTCTACTACGGGGTGCCACCGACAATTATACATCTCATCCAACAGTTATACGACAATACTGCATGTCAAGTAATCCACAACGGGAAACTTTCGGAATCTGTATAACCATTATAATTTCAGGTAGTTTGCAGTTAACTGATGAGAATCTGTGAAATAGAATGATGATATCATTTTATACTGCAAATTTTGTCTTCTTTTCTGTATTGAATTTTAGCTGGGGAACCAAATGTTTTAAATTTCTCAGAATATTTTGTGTCATAATATTTACCATTCTCCTGGGTTCCTTAAGTAAACTATTAGTTGGCAGTATACCATATGACTCAATGAGGTTCAATCTGTAGCGAAAACCAATCTCTTCTGATATTTACATTTTGTCCTTTTTTTAAAATTGCACAGCAGTAGGTTTGAAAGTCAATTAAAAGGTGTGCGTGAGTACATCTCGTCACACGAAGATAATAAGTGAATGATTAATACAATAGGAAATAGAGGGAAACAAAATTTGAGGAATTATGTTCATCGAGGAATTCAAGTAGCCCAGTGATTTTGAGCAGACCGTTAAAATGATTAAAACTACTTAATTTTGAATGAATCATTAACAGACATGGATATTTATCTTCATAAATTAGATTCATCAATTTGCATTCTATACAATTCGAAGAGGTGAAATTTCACCCTGGTGTCTTTTGCAAACTGAGATTATTTAGATCACTAATTGTGTGGTCAATCGATGGGAAAATCTAAAATTTAATTAAATAATTAATACGACCCGTTGCACAAGAGGTGGATGTCGTGGCCCAAGTGGTCTAGTGGATAACGCTTTGACGTTTGAAAATATGGTCACTAGGTTCGAGCCTCAGTGGGAACATCATCCTTCACTGGGGAATGCAGATGCATCCAGTTGACGAGTCCCAAATAGGACGAAATGCGCTTTATCCTGGTGGATTTCACTGCTAGTCACCATCCACCAATTAAATTCGAATTGCCTTCCCAGACATCGTCGAAGCATCTGCATGTCAACCTGAAACCGAGCACTTCGGTCCAGTCAGTCGACAGGAAAATCTAAAATTCACTTAAATTACGTGATCTGTTTTACACCATAAGTAGTAGTCAAGAGAACATGGAACTATACACTACTCATTGGTCGATATGAGAAGCTGGATACCATTCACATCAACCAGTGAGTTGAACTGATTAGGCTCTTTTAGCTTGGTCAAACTTGGCACACCTCTGATGAGACCTGGCCATTCAGAGTTGGAGAAATGAAAATATTACCTGTCTTTGATCATAGGTGACTGCGTTATATCTCATGTGTCATATGGCATAATAAGGTGATTGATATTGAGGTTAGTCACGGGTGGAGAGCTAGGTAAGGAGGGAAAACCAACTGATGAGGTTGTTCAGTTACATGGATTAAGATGGTTAGGACATGTGTTACGCATGACTAACCATCGCCTTCCTCGACAGTGGGTAATGTTGACTGACAGAGGGTCAGGCTGGAAAAGAGCTAGAGGTGGTCAAACCAAAACATGGCTTCACCAGTCAATGAATTCCACAACAGTTAGTTTAGGCCAGCCAACCACGTAGGGAGGTGTAGACTTCATCGCTGGCTGGGGTCCTCAGGACGGTAAACACAAGTGCAATCGGTGATACAGCTCAAAATCGTTCTCAATGGCTGGCTAGCGCAGATGCATCCACTCCTTGTGACTTATAATTTCATATGAAACTATATTGTTCTTCGTTACTACTACTCGTTTGTCTCACACATCTTTTTACTGTCTCTATTATGCATTTCTTCTATCTTCTTTTCTTGTGGCGACTTCAACTGGTGCACATCGGTGCAAAGTTCTATGTCGAAAACAGACAGACACCTCTGATGAACTCGACTGTAAACGAGCAAAACAATCGTCCACTGTCTGTGTCACTTCCATCTGACTAACAATGACTTTCGGTCGATGTAGAGTGAAGTGATTACAGCCGTATTGTAATAAGTATCGGAGGATCAGAAGAGATTGCAAATACATAATCTTGTTATATAAAGAACAGAAGTTGATGCTAATGACAATGACAGGAAGAGTAGCATTATATGTAGGCATGCGTTTTAATGCTCGTTGCCAACCTGTGTGATGCCTTTTCTTAGTTTTGTTGGAAACTCAAAATTGATTTGGTTTCAAACATTTTAAAAATATGCGATTTGTGGTCATACTTTGATACGTAAAGACAAATAAAACACGATCAGTGCGACGCTATATGTAGATGGAGCAATCAACCAAATTATATATATATATATATATATGAATGTAAGTGAAGGTACTCAACTATCCCAGACTTCAGTATCTATAACATACATGAAAGTCGTGTCCTCGAACTAAGCTGCAAATTCCCACTCTTTTATGACAGATAACAGGAATTCATGTTGATTCATAGTAATGTATGATTCAAGACGGGTTTATAGCAGGATGTCTTTGATCATTGGTGCCTGCGTTCTGTCTCCCGTGTTAGGTTGTATAATAAGGTGAACGATGTTGAGGTTAGGAGTCAAATGTTTGGCATACTGTCCGTCTGCCTGTTTTCGACATATAGCTTCGCATTGATGTGGAGCCGTTCAAGTCGCCACACTCCATGTACCACACAAAGCAAAAGAAGAAGTGCATAATAGAGACAGTGGACAGGGATATGAGACAAAAGGAATAGTAATAACGAAGAACAATATAGTTTCATAGGCTATTATAAGTCACAAGGAGTGGATGCATCTACGCCATTTTCAGCCATGTCACCAATTGTCTCCAGCCATCGGTTCTTACCATCCCGAGGACCCCAAACAGGCAGTCAGGAAGTCTACACCTTCCTACGCGGCTGGCTGGCTTAAACTAACTGTTGTAGATCGCCTGATGAAGCCATGTTTTGGTTTGACCACCACTACCTCTTGTTTAACCTGATTCATCCTATGCCATATGACATTTCCTGTAGAGGAAGGCGATGGCTAGGCATGCGTCACACATGTCCTAACCACTTCAGCCCATGTAACTGCGTAACCTCATCAGTTGGTTTTTCCTCCTTACCTAGCACTCCACCCGTGCCTAACCTCAATATAAATCACCTTATTATGC